TTAAATTTCTAAATAAAAAAAAAAAGTATGTTCCTATAGTCACAGGAATATCTGGAATAGCTGCTTGGAAATGGTCTCATAACCTTTATCTTTAACATACTTGTTTATAACTTTCTTTGTACTCTACTGAGACAATTATTTCTCTAATTTCCTCTGGTCAGTGTTGAGTGTGGTAGACACCATATGATTGATAGATAGATAGATAGATAGATAGATAGATAGATAGATAGATAGATAGATAGATAGATAGATAGATAGATAGATAGATAGATAGATAGATAGATAGATAGATAGATAGATAGATAGATAGATAGATAGATAGATAGATAGATAGATAGATAGATAGATAGATAGAGATAGATAGATAGATAGATAGATAGATAGATAGATAGATAGATAGATAGATAGATAGATAGATAGATAGATAGATAGATAGATAGATAGATAGATAGATAGATAGATAGATAGATAGATAGATAGATAGATAGATAGATAGATAGATAGATAGATAGATTGATTGATTGATTGATTTGCGATTTGCTGTATTTGGGACAGGCCTAAGTCCTGGTAATGAAGTTGATTAGTTAGTTTTAGAGTGATTGCATACAACTGTAAGTCCTTGTAATAGGTTTAGTAAGCTTTTCAGGGGATAAAAATCTAACAAATGGATGCGCATAAGTATACTCTGCAAACAAGTTTTCCATCGGTATTGTGCTGTAAAATATTATCCAGAATTACGTGTAATACTTATTTTTATAAATGCAACTCAACTGAGCTCATCAGCTGATTTTAAAAAGTATGTCTTTATCAAGGAATAACTGGTGGTAATGAAAAAAACGGACACTAGATAGCAGTATTGAATCATTGTGTTCTTCCTCACTTCCAAGTTGTCTTCAAAGGACAACATTTTTCTTGGAAGCTTTTTGTTATGAAAGCTCTGTGTTTACACCTTGAGCTTTCTCTCCCTGGTTATTTTCCTTTGAAGAGAACACTCTCGACAAACTCTTTAAATAACACTTTATAATGTATATGTATCAAAGAACCATGAGACATGACAACAGATTTTGACAGAAATTGTAATCTTACTCAGGCCAGAGAAGTTGCTTAGGGTTACAAAAGACAGCTGCTTCCCAATTGGGCTCGCTTCTTAGTGAAGATGGCCTCGAATCACAGTAAAAGAAACATTTGATAAAACTCCAGTATGCCACATCATCACATCAATACATCATACACGCATGCATGAGGCATGAGGTCTCACTTACGAGAGTAACCAGGTTGTCTGCTTTCTTGTTTGCAAATACAATGTCTTCCAAAGCAAATGATTATTATAAATATAAAAAATAGAGAGACTATTTAATTCCAATTTGTTCATTTTTATATTCTGTTGTCTGTATAATCAATTAAGTTATTTGTTTATTGGGGGACAAAGAGCTGGAATACTTGTGTAAAAAACCATATTATGACTAAACAAAACATTTAACCTTTACTATTGCACACCAATTATCTGTCTACAAAAAGTGTTTTCAGGTTAAAATGTTGTTCTTAGAAAAACAGAACAGCAAAAAAACAAAAAACAGATATAGCATATGTAGAAAATACTAGTTTGTTCCCAAGAAATACACATTTATAAGCACAAATATATATAATCTGTACATGAAAAACATATTCATGGCCATGAAGTAGTTAATTGTGGCTATATCATATGTAGAACAATAGTAGTGCCACTGGTGTTCTATATGTGTGGCATATAGGAAGATGATATACAGGTGCTGGTCATAAAATTAGAATATCATGAAAAAGTAGATTGATTTCAGTAATTCCATTTAAAAAGTGAAACTTGTATATTATATTCATACATTACATACAAACTCATATATTTCAGATGTTTATTTTGTTTAATTTTGATGATTACAAATGACAACAAATGAAAATCTCAAATTCATCATATCAGAAAATTAGAATATTGTGAAAAGGTTCAAAATTGATGGCCCCTGGTGCCACACTCTAATCAGCTAATTAACTCAAACCACCTGCAAAAGCCTTTAAATGGTATTTCACTCTAGTTCTATAGGCTACACAATCATGGGGAAGACTGCTGACTTGACAGTTGTCCAAAAGACGACCATCGACACCTTGCACAAGGAGGGCAAGACACAAAAGGTCATCGCTAAAGAGGCTGGCTGTTCACAGAGCTCAGTGTCCAAGCACATTAATAGAGAGGCGAAGGGAAGGAAAAGATGTGGTCGAAAAAAGTGTACAAGCAAGAGAGATAACCGCACCCTGGAGAGGATTGTGAAACAAAACCCATTCAAAAATGTGGGGGAGATTCACAAAGAGTGGACTGCAGCTGGAGTGAGTGCTTCAAGAACCACCACACACAGACGTATGAAAGACATGGGTTTCTGCTGTCGCATTCCTTGTGTCAAGCCACTCTTGAACCACAGACAGCGTCAGAAGCGTCTTGCCTGGGCTAAAGAGAAACAGGACTGGACTGCTGGTGAGTGGTCCAAAGTCATGTTCTCTGATGAAAGTAAATTTTGCATTTCCTTTGGAAATCAAGGTCCCAGAGTCTGGAGGAAAAGAAGAGAGGCACTTCATCCACGTTGCTTGAAGTCCAGTGTAAAGTTTCCACAGTCAGTGATGGTTTGGGGTGCCATGTCATCTGCTGGTGTTGGTCCATTGTGTTTTCTGAGGTCCAGGGTCAACGCAGCCACATACCAGGAAGTTTTAGAGCACTTCATGCTTCCTGCAGCTGACCAACTTTATGGAGATGCAGATTTCATTTTCCAACAGGACTTGGCACCTGCACACAGTGCCAAAGCTACCAGTACCTGGTTGAAGGACCATGGTATCCCTGTTCTTAATTGGCCAGCAAACTCTCCTGACCTTAACCCCATAGAAAATCTATGGGGTATTGTGAAGAAGAAGATGCAATACACCAGACCCAACAATTCAGAAGAGCTAAAAGCCACTATTAGAGCAACCTGGGCTATCATAACACCTGAGCAGTGCCACAGACTGATCGACTCCATGCCACGCCGCATTGCTGCAGTAATACAGGCCAAAGGAGGCCCAACTAAATACTGAGTGCTGTACATGCTCATACTTTTCATGTTCATACTTTTCAGTTGGCCAACCCGTAAAAATTCAAAAAATATCCACTGGACTTGGTTTTCAAGATTTGAAGACGTTTCGCCACCTCTCCAGGAAGCTTTCTCAATTCAAATGTCTGGATCCGCAGTGAGTTTGAGTCTTATATAGACACGCCTTGTATCGCTTGGAAACATGCAATTGCATGTTTCCAAGCGAAACGTCTTCAAATCTTGAAAACCAAGTCCAGTGGATATTTTTTGAATTTTTACGGAATGACTATGACCTGGATGACTGAGAACCTTCATCAGCAGTTGGCCAACATTTCTATAAATCCTTTGTTTTTATTGGTCTTCAGTAATATTCTAATTTTCTGATATGATGAATTTGAGATTTTCATTTGTTGTCATTTGTAATCATCAAAATTAAACAAAATAAACATCTGAAATATATGAGTTTGTATGTAATGTATGAATATAATATACAAGTTTCACTTTTTAAATGGAATTACTGAAATCAATCTACTTTTTCATGATATTCTAATTTTATGACCAGCACCTGTATAATGTCATGTTTCTCAGTTGGCTGTACTCTATTGAAACAGCATACCAATGTTATGAAGGAATATGCTGTCACTTCTGGAAAAAAGTTATAAAAAAATTTTAGTGCACATCTCATTTGATACCTAATATTCATTTTAGTAATATGTAATTAACACTTGATATTATACACAAAAACTTCCCACACATAGTTAGAGGTATGTTGGAAAGACAGTTATATTATATGCATGCTTAATACTGCATCAGCATTACCCTTAGGCAGGTCAAATTGATTAGTTTGGTGAGATCTTAGAATACACCACCAATGCTGCCCAGAAATAATCTCTAGACATTCAATTAGTCCTTCAGTCATCATTGTCATTTTATCAATTACCTTATATCTCACGTTTCTGTCAACATACAGTACACAGCCACTCCTCCACATTCTTGTCTACTATATTTTATAATCAAATGAATTGCCCTCTTGCTCAAAGTCCAACCGCTTTTCATGTCTCTGATATTGTAATAATGCTAAATGATTGCATGAACTGGCCTAGATAGTCTTTTTTGTTCTTAAGTTTGCTTTGACTGTATAGTAGATAATTTCTTTTCTGTATTAACTGCTCTGCTGTATTGCTCTTCAGTATAGGAAACACTATAATCAATATCACTTTAAAAACATCTGTGTAATTAAGAGGTTCTCTGCTTAAAATGTCTTAAATCCATAGTCTCCTTCAGTCTCCTTCCTTGTCTTAGCAGAGCTAATTTATGCCTTCTATTGAAGAACCTCATGATATTACCATGTTAATTCTTAGAGTTTCTCCTGAACACGGCATGGCAAACTTTAAGGACCACAGGACCGGAGAAAGTTAGGAACCTGTTGTTCCATAGACTCACAGTCAAGCTCTTCTGTTCTCCTCCATTGTCAGCAGGCTCTGCATGTGTGTACAACCAAGGTTTTATCTGTAGTCTAGGAACAATAACTTTGTTCATCCTTTCATACTGCTCCAGGTCAGAAACTCTGTTTTCCAGGTAGTGGATCCTCTTGTCTTTCTTTTTTTATTTTGATGACTGAGAGCTTTACCCTTTTCGCCAAACTCCATTTAATGTTTTTTTTTTTTCTGCAGCCCACTTGTAGAAACCTCCGCAGACAGAAAGTCAAGGGATTTTTTAAATGTCGTCAGCCTCCTCTATTGACTCAGTCTTCTCAGGCCCCATGCTGTAACGGCTTGCTCAGATTAATTATATGTTGTGTTTTCACTTAGAATTGTTAAAAAGATCACAGGGTGTGCTAATATATTCATGGGAGATGACTGTGTTGTTTTTTTTTATTATCAATAGGACATATGCTATGATGCAAGTAAGGGACCAAATGGAATGCAATACAAGAACTGAAAATGCTGAGTTAGGCAATATTATGAAAGTTCAACAGTGGTATCAAACTGTTTTATCAATGAATAATATCTGTCAGCACAAAAAGTGCAGACAGATGCCTTTTCAAATGTTTTATTCAAGGTAACATCTAAATTACCCTAGTTATGGAAACATCTGTAGTTGGCTATAGAAAAAGTAAGGCATGCCTACAACTGTAACTGCACTGACAAGATAAAATATTTTTTGTTAATTTGCCTTATTGAATAATATGAAAAGTAAACACATGTAAAGTATTTCTGTTTTTTATTTCTTCGTTGATAGAATTAAATAACCTTTTTTTAAAGAAATATAAAAGTGTATTTAAAAAATGCATACAAAGTTTGATCTCTGCCATATTTTCAATGAAAACAAAATGTACTCATTACTGATATAATGTTCAGCATTAGTTTAAAACCAAGTTTAGTTGACTGTATTCATGATGTCAGTTTATTTAACATATTGTTGAAGTAAAGTGTTGAAGTAAACAAAATCTATGATCATCTCCATCCAATCAGGTGCGAATTCAGCAACTCCTCAGTCTTTGTGTATAGTTCCATGGCTTTATTTGCATTCTGTCCTTTTGCCATGTTTCCCCCAACTTGCTGCAGCCCCTTCAGCACCGACTGCAGGGCGTCCACATTCTTTACCGAGTCCATCTGATCCCTGTCTGCACGAATCTCCTCCACCCAGTCCAGGTAGGCCTGGAGCAACCCTAAATCATCCACAAAGTTTGCAATAATCCTAAGATCTGCTCTCAGTTTCTGCAGTTCTCTTAATCTTTCTCTGCCCAGATCTCCGATATCATTTCCAACAATTCTGAATGGGAGGGAGAAAAACAGTGGTGGAATAATTATTCTCCACTAGATGGCAGTTATAACATTCCAATACAACAGAGAAACTAGTTAAATGTGGCTCTCTTACGTCAGTATCCTCAGTGATGTGTTTTTGCTGAGGCAGTTAACAATGTTTTCCGTCCCCTTTTCTGTAATGCCAGTAATGTCCAGATAGAGCTCTTCAACAGTGGTGTTGTGCTCTAAAGCCTTCCACAGTTCATTAACTCCCTCTGGACCCAGGTTATTTCCACACATACTGTAAGAACAGTTTGAAAGCATATGTTAATCTATTGAAACAAACAAAGGACATTTTACATAAATAACTGCATTCAATGTTTAAAATATCCTTTTTTTCTTTCACTATGACATGAAAATGCTTATTTTTTCACATTTTTCTAAAGGGACTACATCATGCTTTTTTAAATCTTTCAAAGTCAGCTATAGTCAAATATATGATTTAATCAAAACCTTAATGTGGGTATCAATTTGTTATGAGATGCAGTTGTTTTCGTCCAACCCATCTTATGATGTCTTCATATCACATAACTTGTGTAGGCTAAACAAATCTTGAAATCTCTCACGGCCCAAAAACATGGTACAAGTGTACACAGCATATTCGTTTGGAAAGGAGCTAGAACCTGATGTAAAAGCCGGGACTAACAGAGTCAGACGAAACAACTTAGAACCAATCAGATAACAGCAAATTTGACGTAAAAACATATTTTGTTATCTATGAAAAACTCCTGAAATTGGATCGACATTACAGCTCTTCCGGGACATAATAAAAGGCATCAGTAAAGAAATACTCCAACGCAGCTGCAGTCTTGACTATTATGGTTACAGAAAAGAGCTGCTGCATCATTGGCTCGCCTCCCTCAATGTGATTGTCTGGTCTGGGAGCAGTGAGCATAAATAATGCCCAGTTTAAATCAGTCTGGCTGGTGAGGCTTAAAAATTAACAGTTGCCTCCCTGTGCATAGTAGCTGCTTAAAGATACCCTTTGTCTTTGAGCCATAATCATCGCTTTCTGCCTCTCATCCCCCCTTCCTGATCAGAGGAAGGGGGATTTGTTTACAGTTCGGGCACAGTTAAAGTACAGTAGGTGTTTCCTAGAGGGGTCAATCTTATGTAATTACTCTCCAACCTCCCATTTTTACACATCAGGTAAGGGGCAGGTGCTGAACTCATGGGGATTACTCAATGATGCATGTTCTATTAAAAAAGTTTGGAAATTTTAAAACACATCATTGAGATACAAAAGTAGATTTTGACTATATTCAGCTTTAGATTGGGCCTTTTTGTTATGTCAGGTGATGTTTTGTCATGGTTAATATTTTGTCATGTTTGTCTTGTGTGGTTGAGACTCCTTTACTGTTTTAATCCTCCAGATCAACTATGACTCTTCAGTGTTCTCTAACTCTGCTGAAAGCAAAGATATTTTGTGGGATTTTGCACCTGCTGTACAAAAGCATCAAACATGTTATATTCCCAATTTCCAAGGTTTACTAGTTCTTCATAAAATATAAGTAACTTACATGTAAATGGTTCAAAGTTTGTATTCACGTAATTGAAATGCTCATGTCTTATGACCATGAAACCATCAGACAATCATTTTAAAAATCCTTTAGTGTGGCTGAATTAATTAATACAATTATTCAAAGAGATTTGGACCAGAATTAATTGACATCAATGTGAAAAACTCATGTGTTAGCACATAAATTTCATGGATGCTGTTGATGACAATGTAGACATAAAGGATAATAGGCCAACTGTTTTTTAACAAAAACACAGTGGTTTGCATACAGAAGAAAAATGCTAGAGAAGAAAAATAAATCTCTAACCTGAATCTGTTGATTCTGAATACTGTTGATATTTTTTTATGTATTTAAGATTCTAAGATTACTTACAAGAGTTTCTTCACTTGGCATTCATTTGATTTCAGAACTGCAGATTCTAAAATTGCAGCTTGCCAGTCCAGACAGTTGTATCTCAAACTGAAACACAGTAGAAAAAACATAATTTTAATTGCCGGTTATGATTTACTGAGGATCAGACTTATATCTCAGCACGAATTTGAACTAAGGGTAAAAGTACCACTGGGAAGATTGCTTTTGCATCAGAGAGCAAACACAAAAAGGTTTAACAAGAGAAAAAAAAGTAAGTATAACAGGAGAAATAATACATTCTACCCACATAAAAGGCATCAGTCAGCCAGGAAATATGTCCCTTATACCTACTTATTGCATTCTACTCTTTTTGACATTTGAATATGAAATAAAGAACTCACTAGAGAGTTTCACAGCGGTGGAGGATTGGCCTTAGTCGATGTAATCCTCGGTTTCCAATGTTGGAGTACCCCAGGTTGAGTTCCTCAAGCGTGTGTGGAGAAAACTTCAGCACATAGTGCATTGCTGCACAATCCACAATGCTCAACTTCATTTTAAACAAGTTGAGTTTCTTTATCTCTGGTGCTGCAATTGTAGTGGTCTTTTCCATGTGAAACTCCATCAGGCAGTGCAAAAGATTCAATGCGGTTTCATTTTTCATCTTCCTGTGTTTAAACTGGGCTTGAAACCACAAGCCCAGACTGGTGTGAATGCCATTCCCTTCATCTGTTGAGGAGTCAACAAGGCCATCTAACTGCTTTTCTAATCTTGCTCGGAGAAGTCCCATAAAGAACCGTGTGAACATCTGAAGACTTTCTAGCATTTCCATGTCGAGCTCCATGTGTTTAAGTAGTGTAGAAGAGGTAGATGGTGGATGCAACCCAAAGCACCAGAGGTTCAAAGCTTGAGTTATACCCTCGTGGCTGAGGAGGTTTAGAGCACAGTAGAGAGCGCCCAAATGTTCTTGAACTGTCAAGTGGAAGAAAGAAAACAGCCTAACTCTCTCCTCTTTGAGAGGGTGAAGGATCTGACATAAAAAGGTGCCTTGAATCTGATCTGATTTTACACCATAACTCTCAAGATCTTCCTCACTGAACATGATCTTCCTCTTCAAGAGGTTTTCATAAGCCAGTTTTCCCAGGTTTGTCAGCTGTTGCTTAGCTAGGGACAGAACTTTAGATCTTGAAGCTGATCTTTCTGCACTCCCGCGCAGTGCATGGTGTTTGACTACTGTAAACAGATAGCAGAGGTAAACCTCACTCACTGTTTTGGGTGGATTCAACTCCAGAGATTCAAGATCATCAACAGCTTGGGTTCCTGAGAAGAACTCTGCCATAGCTATACAGATGATATAGCAATATAGGGGGATGAAGGACAATACAAAAATGTTGTCATTGTTGGAAATGTATTTATAGACTTTATTTGAGACTTCTCTGTCTTTGTAGAACTTTGTGGTATATTCTTTAACCTGGTTTTCCTCAAAGCCCAGTACCACACAGCATCTCTGAAAGAAATGCTTTGGTGCTTCTGTAGATGGCCTTGTTGTGAGTATGATGGATGCCTCTGGCAGAAGATTTCCTTTAATCAGAGCAACTATCAGCTCAGCGACTGGCAACTTTGATTCTATACCAATGTTTGTGTCACGACTGTTCCAGTTCAAGAAGAATTTAAACTCATCTAAGCCATCTAGGATGAAGAGCAATGATTTGGGTGCAGTAAACAGGTCTTGAAGAGCATCTTTGAGGTTTCCAAACCGTTCTCCAAGAAGATCCAACAAACTGAGCGGAGCTTCAATCAGATTGAGCTCCCTGAAACATAGACCAAAAATGCAGATGAATTCTCGCATGCTCTTTCCAATTGCCCATTCATAGACAAGTTTCTGGACCACTACGCTCTTTCCAATGCCAGCAATACCCTTCACTTTCACCCTTTTAGGTGGCTGTCCTGTTGTCTCTAAAGGGCTCAGTAGTTGGCTTGGCCTGATGCGCTGACATGACTGGTGGACATAGATACGGGCTCGTCTGCTTGCAAGGTCAAAGTATTCATGTTGGCTGCTGTCAGTGAAGTCATTGTCCTCCGTCACAAAGAGGTCAGTATAGCGGATCTCAATATGGGAATCTGAGTTTGAAACTTCTCTGCTGCCCTCAGAATAACATGTCAGCTCCTCCATGCGCTTCAGTAAGGATGCCTTGTGGGAAGCAATTGGAACTGAAATGGGACATGATTTGTTAATTTTCTGAAATTTAGTTGGTAAATTGCATTTGTCAAATGTTTCTATGCAAAAAGTTTTTTTTTTTTGCCAAAATTGGATTTCCATTTAGTCATAGTTTATGGCTTTTTTTAAATTATACATTATATCAGAAAAGAAGTCCTAGGCATTTGTGTTGTTTTCTTACTTACCTTTAAGGTTGGCCATTATTTGAGTCCTTATTAGCTTCAGATCTTTTTTACCTAACAAATAAAAAAAAATTGCTGGTCAACTGTGCAAAATTATTATTTTTTATTATTTTAGCATTTTACATCATTATGTAACATATTAAAATAAAGCATTAGACAATTATCATACCAAGGTCTACTGGCCTGGCCACCTAAAAAAACTGTTGTCTCTAATACTATTAAGAATATTCATTAAACTCAGCAATAGCATTTTTTTCTGATATTGTGCAGCTATTTCCCTAAATGTCAGAAGTAGTTCCAGTCTGGCAAGATTCTTTTTTCTGGTTTTATTGAGCTGCCCATGACAATGACTAACTCAGAATAGCTTACTTGATATTTTCCTTTGCTTAAAAAAAGACGAAATATGAAATCCTTTCCACATTACCTAGCAAGTAAACATTAATATTACAATGTAACTGAATATTGTATTTTATTTTGACAACAGTAGAAAGAAGTATTGCTTTTTCTGTCTAAAATAAAAGCAATTGGAGAAATTTGTTAAATTAAAAAGCAAGTAATATCTAATGTTGTCATAATTGTCTATGTGTTTTATTAATTATTTTGTGTTTATTAATTCAATCTTAATTCAAGTTTATCAGAAAATAAAATTTCTACCTCTTATTTCAGTATTATTTTAAATCTTGTTAAAATGACTCATTCTTACCTTTCACACCTGCTGTTATAGAGAATACTTTGTTCTTCCTTCTGAATAGTTTGGCAATTGGTCCTTTAGGCTTCTTATGTTTATCTGTCACAGAATTCATGTCATTAGGCTTGATGCAAAGAAGCTTAACTGATTATATTTAGGCCTTAATAGTTTCACTTTCAATTTAATTATTTTTATTTACATGTCACCAATTCAAAACACATGCCACCTCAAGGCACTTTGAAGAAAAAAGTCAATCAAGTCAATCAGATAGATTGGTTAAAAAAATTCCATCTACAGAGAACCAGCTGACTGATTCAAATCACTGACTTTGAAGGTTTTTTTTATATATATATTTTGTTATTGATCTTGCAGCAATTCCTCATACTGAACATGACTGCAGCTATAATGAAGAGGGAAAATGTATCTTTTAATAGGAAGAAACCTTTAGAGGAACCAAGTTCAGTGTGAGCGGCTATTTGCTGAGGCACACTGGTAGAAGCATTGATCTATAAATACTTCCAAAGTTAGAAAAAGGTAAAGTTAAACTAGCTCCATAAGTATCTCTGTCTTTGAAATACAGAAAGGAGAGTTTTAAGCCTTGCCTTAAAAGTAGACAGGGTGTCTGCCTCATGGACTAAAAGTGGTGGTTGGTTCCACAGGAGAGGAGCCTGATAACTAAAAGATCTACCTCACATTCTACTTTTAGAAATTATAGGAACCATCAGATTAAGGTTGAAGTGATTTGTTAGGAGAATAAAGAAGAATCGGCTCTCTGATATATGATGGACCATGGTTATTTGGGCTTTGTACATGAGAATGACATTTTAAATTCTATTCCAGATGCAACGGGAAGCCAATGAAAGGAAGTTACAACTGGAGAAATATAATCTCTCTTTTAAATGTTCATCAAAACTCTGGCTGCATTGTTTTGGATCAGCTGAAGGCTGTTTACTAAACTTTGTGAATTTCCTGCTAATAAAGAATTACAATAGTCTAGCCTTGAAGTAATCACTTCATGAACTAATTTCTAAGCATGTCTGTTAATAAATATGCAAGTTGTGATGATGAAATGGAACAGACAATGTCTGGAACATTCTTTATCTTCTTTATGAAATTAATGTTTACTCAGTGGTTGGCATTTTACTCTGTATGATGTCACCACATGCTCATCCATTGAATTAGATTGAATTGATGTGATTGATTGATTGACTGATTAATTCCTATTACAACAAAATAACTTAATGTGACAAAGCGGCTGAAATAAAATGCAGAGAAACATCAAGAAAACCCCGCTGGATGAGAGAGCACTGCCTGCTGTTGGTACAGCAGCAGTGGAGGACAATAGTGAAGGATTAAAAAGGTTAATCATTGTACAGGGATCATCATTCTATTCTCTTTATCTTTCCGCCATTGTCTCTGCATACAGTCTCAGGAGGCTCAAAGTCTTAGGAGTCTTTGAGAATGTGCTCCCTAATGGAATATGGTTGGCAAAAAGAGATAGTGAGTGTTTAACAAGTTGTAGATGATGACAGATCAACTTGGTAAAATTCTCTAGCATGCCTAGGTAGGCATGAAGGTGAGGAAGAGAGATATTTGATGACAGTGAAACATGTAGGGATACTACTGGAAATCTTCCTTTTGAAAAGAGAAAAAGAAACAACGGGTAACTCTTATTAAGAGAAACTTTTGTTTCAATTAGTCACCCTATAAAAATGAATATTTTATAATGATAACAATATGATAAACATTTAACATAGAATGCATAGGGTTAAAAACAGCATGACTGAGAAGGACTCAGCAAGAGCCAAAGTGAAAGGTTTATATTTTGTTTATTTCTTTGGTGACACAGATCTCCCCATACCTGGGGTAATTGCTTTGGGGATGTGGTCCCTTGTTGTTTAGGAGATTGAAGTGTACCCATCAGGTAGATGGATGAGGAGCTTTGGCAAACTTTTCTGTTGACCGTCGAGTCTAACCTTTTGGAAAATAAATAAAGAAATAAAACCCAAATGGGGCTCATGGTGGCTTCTTGGAGACGCGTCACAGTTCAAAGAACTTGTCAGCCAGCAGCGGCTCTGTTCTGACTTTTATTGCTCCAAGGTTTGAATGATTCTTAGTTTATGCATCTGGCACTCAAGTACTTTGAAAGTGCCCTAAAACAGAAATAACTTTCTAACAGGACTTCATGACTGTTATTTTATGCAGGAATCTGGGGCAATTGTTCACTTTGATTGTCCTCATGCATTCGTTTTGCTTAATTGCTTAAGTCAGCAAAAATGACATCTTCAAAGTTCTTCCTTGTTGACTGTAACAATCTTCGTACATGACAGTCATTAAAAAAGCAGTATCTATCTGTGTAAATACGAGCTTTTATATTAAAATTCAAAAATATCAGTCAATTTTACTTTACCTCTACATTAATCTGCTTTGAAAAATAAAACACAGCCATAAATGATCCTCACCTTGATCCTTTACCATTTCAGTTTGTGGCAGTATGCTTGGGTTTGATCTGCAGTGTTTATCAACCCATAGGTGCAGATCCTTGCAGTAATAATCCTGCACTTCCCTCAGCACCTCCAGGAACTTTTGGCTGCTTTCTTCCGAGGCACATGCTGTTTCCAGAGCCTGGGCTACAGCTTCGGAAGATGATTTTTCCAGTAAAGACGTGTAGGCAGTGTGAGAAAGCACCTCATCATCACAGAGCCATCGTAACAGGGGAGTTGGATGCTCACAAATCCAACTTAGCAGTAAGTCCTTCTGTGATCGGAGCAGCTGTTTAGCCGAAGTCATGTTTTCAGAAAATCCTACCCTATCCTACCCTACCCAAACTTTGGAACCAGAGTGTTAACTCTCGCTCCAACGTTTTCAATAAGTTTCAATAATTTGACTTTTTAGTAATAATGGCTTGCATAAATATTCTGTTTATATTATTTTAAAACTCACTATAAAGTAAAAAATATAGCTCTTCCTGCGCCTCACATGTTGAATTCTCTCCTCAGACAGAAGTGTTGTAGCAGCAACAAGAGCTTATCTTAGTCTTTAGTAGAAGTTATAGAGAGCAACTCAACAATTCAAAGGCTCAAGGTTCAAAGTTTTATACCCGTCTTTGCCCATTTATTATACTTGCTGGGTATACTATCATTCTTGTTCACTAAACATGAGATACACTAAGGGCCTACATTTTCCTCCACATTTTTGCACATGTTTCTATTTTAACTGCTCAAATAAAATGCTTTTGTTTCTGCTTCACTTTCCTTTAAAAAGTGACCTTCTTTGCATCAATACATATTTATTATCAGATGGCAAAGCAAAACTCAAAGCTTATCCAGGTTAACCATTAATCAGCTTGATACTGTGTTATACTTGTTGTTGTTTTTTACAACATGCTTTTATCATCAGCATGAGAGGCTTAATACAATACCTTGCAAAAGTATATATAACCCTTGCACTCCTTTTTGTAAAAGGCTTAAAAAAAACAGGTCATTAATTTGAAAAGTGATGATTTTTCATTTTGCTTAAAAACACAATTATAAAACATGTGGCCTGAATAGGAATTCAATCCCCTTTACTTTGATACCTTTAGATAAGACATTGGGTTAAGATATTGGATATAAGTTATTGGGTTGCCAATTCTGTTGCACCTCACTGTTAAAGTCCACCTATATTGATTGTAATCACAGTACAATTGCAGTATTTAGGTTTGTTAGAAAACAAGAAACAAAATCAAGAAAACCTAGCAACATCACAGGGGATGAAGGAGGGATAAAGCTATGCTGAATTTCAAACACTCGCCACAGAGCACTGTATAATTAATCATCTGAGTGCAAATCTAGCAAGAAGTGGGCTCCCATTTAAACTGTTAGAGATCTACAGCTTAGAAAAAAAAAATCATTTGATAAAACAAATATTCTTGTTATATGCTCGAAAAAGCTGATATGGATGGAAGAAAAAGACCTTGCTGGGTAAATGGGTAAATGTAGGGGACACAGCCAACAGATGGAAGAAGGTGCCCTGCTCAGGTGAGATTAAAAGGGAATCTTTGAGCCTCCCTGCAGAATACAATTAATTCAAGTCATTACCCTGATTAAGCCCCTGTCACATCTCGATAATTTATCCAGGGTATGCCAATTTTGGGCATATACACAGATTTATAATGAGTCTAGAACTTGCGTCCAACAACAGCCTAACTTATGCATAACGCACGGCAGGGTAATGTCCATGAAATGTCACAATCCAGTGTCCTGAGGGGGGCAGCAATGCGCCTGGAGGGGCCCGGCCTGCGTATGCGTAAGCTGTTTACTGCCAGGCAAAAAATAAATAAATAAATAAAAAGAAAAAAAGAAGGTTAGCAGTCGCAGCAGATTCAGCATCATGTCTGCTAGGAAGTTTGTTGGTCGTGGGTGTGAACGCAGGGAGGACTCATCACACTCATCTTCATGCACACCCTATCATGGGGATGAAGTCTGGAGGAGAACTGACGGTTTCCTCGTGTGAACCCCATTTTATACCAAAACGCTGCCAATACGCCATTATACAGTAGCTATAAGTTAGAAAAAATGTTTCAGCTGTCCTCTTGAACACGTCAAATACGTTTATATATGTTGGAGATAACTTCTTGATAAGTTATGCATAAGTTATGCACAAGTTACTCATAGGTTTCGGACAAGTTAAACACCACGACCTATGAGTAACTTACACAACGTATGCGAACGATCAAATAATGTATCTGTAAGTTATGGTGTATAACAGCGTATAAGCATATGCTGGCATACGTTAAAAAACTTTGAGAAAAATTCCTCAACACACTTGCCGTATGTCAACGTGTGCCAGTGTGCTTCAGCGGGCTCATAACTTACACAAAACTGACCCATAACTTATCCAACTATTTTCGGCCAATTGTAGCAGCAAATCGTGACGTTTTGAAAACTGATGAATCAAACTTCTTCCGAATCCTATCGGAAGAAAAGCACAGACATCTTTTCCATCTACAAATGCACAAGGTGCTTCTCTTTGCTCCTTTATTAATCAAGAAATTGTAAAATGAGGTATCGAATATAGAAAGAAAGTAAAATGAGTATAGAAAGTAAAATGAGGTATCAACAGGTGAGTCCTCCAGCATAGCCATGTTTGTAATGCCCCGACAAGGCCCTTCTAACTGTCAAGCATTCTTACATATCCCGCCCTGAAAAACACTGCTGGTATGTCACTGGTCCGACCCGGCGCTGGTTCGGAGACGGACATGTTGGTGGGAGGCTTTCAAGACAGATTTGTTGTGAGACTGTAAAACTCAGATCTTGCAAGGGTACAGGGAAGCCAGGAGATGCTTAATATTGGGCACTCGTAAGGAAAACATGTTAAAGGTTTCAAAAGATTTAAGATTCTCCTTATAATGCAACATCCACCTCACCTTCAATAGAAAAAAAAAATCAATAAAGCATTTTTTTGTTGTTGAAGAGCGCACTCAAATTCCTGCCCTATATCTAAATGGAAATATGTGCCAAGAATAGAAAATTGCTGACTATAGATTTTCTACATCCAATTTGACAGATAGTGGGTTGTTTTTAATTTTTTCTTAAGTAAAACATTTTTTCCTTTCACTTCGCATTTTTCAATATTTAGCCTTTTTCATGAACTTTCATTAAACTTGGTTTAGTTTTATGTTTGTATCCTTGCTAAAAATAGAAAAAAAAATGTGTGAATCCAAGGCAATGTAAGCCAGCTTTTGTGGAGCAGACAAAAGAAGAAAGAAATGACCACATTGGAAACAATAGGGAAATGACTAGCAGCATGAGTGACTCACTCCTTGTCATGTGTTGTCTTGCTGATGTCTTCTTTCCTAAGCAGAAAATGTCCACTTTTTTTTTATTATTTGGGGTAATTTTTTGTAAAATGTGAGTTACTTTACAGTTTTAATATACTTATTTTAAGCTTATTGATGACAAAAACACATTAAAAACAGTATTTCAGAAGGTATATAAACCACTATTGGTAGAATGTGGATCAGCACCATTAGTAGACAGTTGTGACACCATGAACCAGGCCAACTTCCTCTTCTTCGCGTTCTCATTGTCTTTTCCAGACTGCTAGCAGAAAAGTGTTGCAGCCATGCATGGAGACACAAGCTTTCTTAAAACTCTTCAGGTTATAGGTAAGTAATGATGAACAAATTCTCTCTTTTAGCTATTCTTAAGATTGTTAATATTCACTGATCTTTGCATGATATTGTTAAAATAGCCAGTAATGCACTTCTATCATTGGTAGGGTTTCAGTAAGGGTTTTTTCTCCCCAAAACATCTTCTTGTCATTGAAGATAAATTGTTTACACGTTATTTCATAAACTAACCATTTTCTAAGTATAAGTGGTGCAGGCAAAAAAGCCAATATTTATTTAAAAAGAGACACTCTTATATCTATTCCCCCTGCACAACATTCAGTGTGATCAATTATTACCAGAACCAATGGTGCACTTACTCCCTTCCTTTTTCTAAAAATATCCCTTGCACAACCATTTCTTTATATTGTCATTGTAGTTGAAGTAACTTTGGTTAGAAATAACTCCTACAAAGCCCTTCAAAAACTAATTCTATTTACATCATCCCCAGTCAATGCAAGGTTTTTCTGTGTCTTGTGTATGATCAGTTTATAAAGAGATTACAAGCTCTACAACTGCTTCACCTTAGATGTTGGTTTTCCACTGTTTTTCATTTTTTTCATATATAAATATTAAGCTAAAATTGTGTAGTTTTCTGTTTTCTAACCAATATTTTGTTGTTCATTACAAAAGTTGTCCTGTTAAGGGGGGTCCATGCTGCCTCGCCTGTGCCCTCAGTCCCTGACCGTGTCCAGGGGGTGGTGGGCTCCTGCATTGTGATTCCCTGCTCCTTCACACCAGCAACCTATCACCCCATTGTAGGATTGAGGGAGAGGGTCGATGTACGGTTCAGGTTCAAAGGTAGTGGAGCTGTTATCCGTCTCTGGAGTATTGCTTTCAACAGCGAGAGCAAAAACCAAATCAACAGGAATTTCCTGGGACGAACGTTGCTCTTTGGCAAAATGTCAGATGGAGACTGCTCGATAAAGATAGAGCAGCTAAGAGCTGATGATCCAAAGGTGTTTGAACTGGCTTTGAAGAAAGGCAGGGATTCAGCCTGGGGAATATCCAGAAGTGTAAATGTGGACATTATTGGTGAGTAACACAGAAATACCCTAATCTTTCTGTTTTTCTTTTTTTTTTTTTAAAGTACTTGAACTTGTTGAAGAGGTTTAAAGTGTATAACCTCTTGAAATAACTGAAATAAAGGAGGATTGTTTCTAATAGTCATTGCACATACAAATATGTTATATTGTTGTTTTCTATTTGTTTGTACTGACAGGCACCCCTGAGCCTCCTGTCATCCGCGGAGTGTTGTCAGCTAAAGAAGGACAGCTGGTCTCACTGAACTGCTCTGTCACTTACCACTGTCCTTCCAGACCCCCGACCCTGCAGTGGAAGTTAAGGCAAGGAACTCAGTTGAACGGCACCAAAATAGGAGAGATACAAACTCTCCATCCAGATCCCAACAGGTGGATGCTTCTTGCCTCTCTGTCTTTTATTGCCTCGCACCAGGTGAAGCCCCGGCTTCAATGTGCAGTGAATTATCCAGAAAATAAAATGTTAACCGTGGAGAGGGATGTGCATGTGACATGTAAGCATAGCTTTGACACTTACCGTATTTCTTTGTTTCTCAGTTTAGCTTACATCTAACGTTGTTTGTGTTGACCATGTCTTTAGTTCCGCCAAAGGATGTGAGGGTTGAGGTTCAGACATTGACTGTGCATCAGGGGGGCAACGCCTTGCTTGCTTGCTCATGCAAAGCTGACCCTCCGGTGACAGAGTATCGCTGGTGCTACACTCAACATGGTCGGACTGTGCACCTCCGTCACCGAACCCACATACTGCGAGTGTTTAATGTGACCAAAGATATGAGAGTCCGCTGCTCAGCCCAGAACGCCATTGGTCGAGGAGAATCCCAGCTGACGTCACTCAATATACAATGTAATTTTACCTCCTTTTTGACCTTTTTAAATGGTTGCAATGATTCCCTGACACTAAACCCTTCAAACAATATAATCTTATAAGAACCAGATACTTGATTTGTGTGGCTCTAAGATTAAAACACTTTCATTCCAACTACATGAGTTTGTCCAGCTCAGAATTCACAGATTATACCTAGTTTATATTGATCCATCAATATAGTAAACTTCACAGCAAAAAATTTCCAATTAAGTAAGTATTGCTATTTGTTTTATAATAAAATACAATTGTCAGGAATTTACACTTTTTATGCCAATAACCCTTATAATGCTATATTCATTGTAGTTAATGCCCACATCTGGCATATTATAGTACCCAAGGTGCTTAATGTCATTGAATAAATTGCAAAAGTTGCACAGTGACACAAAGAGCAGAGTTAGAAAAAAAATGATTTATCACAATACTTTATATTGCACTTAGAATGGTAAGTCTTGAATGTAGCTTCCTGGCCATGGTCACCACATTTCACCAATTTCCAAACCCGATTCTTTTAGCTAATATAAAAACAAGGGGTTTGTAGTTTTCTGGCTGTTGACTTATCACAATTGCTAAACAAGTTCTGTGATTTTCATGGCCTATCAGCTGATCACTATGTTGTTTCAAAATCCCTTTCACCTTACAAAAGTATCACTAACAGTTGGTAGGAATATTAAGCTGCAAGGACATTTCATTGCAGAGGTCACATCCCACCTGAGTACCTTACTGGAATTCCATTCACTTCTAAGAGTTATCCATCTTTAAGCAGATGTTTGCAGATTGCATGATTAGGTGTTTAATTCCTGCCACCTGTGGTCATTAAAATTATTGGAATATTTGAATTCAATCATTTGGATGAATGAGCGAATAAAGTAGCAATATAGAATATAGAGATCGAATTATACATTGCACTGCCACCCCTGCTTTTTGTTAATTTTATGTTTGATTTGTTAAAAGATGTTTTTTTGTTTGCTGTTTAAATTGAAACCTGTGTAAGTTTTATTGTTTAAATGGAGGAATAAAAAACTATTTCGTTTACAACAATCAGCCAAAAAATATTGGCAGCACATGATTGGTTAGACCAGCGGTTCCCACACTTCTTTAGCCGTGCAACCCTATTGTGTCCCAACCCCAATTACCCACAACTTAAAAATATGCTTTTTAAACAAAACAAGGCTTTCTTGTAGCCATATTAAAGGCAGCATGTTTAATCATGCTCAAATAATCAGAACACACATCTTTACAACAGCAAAAAGAATCGCAGTTAAAGTAACACAACCCCATCATAATAATGTTATGGAAATAATATTGGAACTGAATTTGAATTAAATTGCAATAAAAATGCACACATTATCCGCAACATTATTCCTGAGGATTTTCAGGTGCAGTGAGAGTAAGAGAGATACTCAGATCGGCTTAAAAAAACAAAAAAGTCTCTAAAGGTGGATTCATGGACTAAGCTCTGATAATACACATATGTGTGTGTTCTCACTTTGTTTATTTCATGTACCTGCACGTCAGTCTAAATCTGACTCTCAAATTACGCCACAAAATAGAAACTCTTAGAAGTATAATTTGATTTGTGTCGGACAAGGAGAGGGAGAGAACTTTGGTAGAGAGGCATGGAGTAACGATAAGAGAAAGTGAGCTCCTGTCTTGATAAAGCTGTTATTAATCAGTTGAATAAAAAGTATTTTGCTGATTGTTTCACAGTGATTACATTCAGTAAATACAAATGGCAACAAATCTCAGCTCCTCTCATTTCCCAGCACTACCAGTAACTGGTGTTCCTGTTCCTGTCTGAGTACAGCCTAAAACTGCATTCATAAAATGAACTGGCTCTATGTGAATCTCCTATTATTGGTCTGTGTGAGCATAGTCAGGAAATCATGTCTACCTTTAATTTTCCCAACAGCAGCAATGTGGGCATGATGTTTGCATCAGTGTTGCTAATTCAGAGTCAAAGCACCATGGACAGCGCTATTTGTTTAAAGTAGCAGCCCCAGACTAGCTTTGCACTACAATACGTAGAAGCTCTATAATACATCCTAAAATGAAGCATAGCAAAAGACTCCTTCTATCTAAATACATTTTTTCTGGAAAAAATTGTTATTTTTAAAAATCACAGTTTAATTTCTCTTTTTACTAAGGAAGTTTTGATTAATGTCTTTATTGGTTGAGGAAAAAAATGTTATTGTGTAATTTTCAGACCACCATTACAATTTTTTGTCAGAGAATCCATGAGTTACACTGATGTCAAAATAATTGGCATTGGCTAAAAAAGAGGAAAAAAAAAAAAAAGAAAAACGCATCAGAAAATCTCTAATAGTTTTTATGGTTTGGAGTTTGTTTTAACACTTTATAAAAAAAAATAATTGTATAACATTTTAAAAAGATATCCTTTGTTTACTTCAGATAAACCCTCCATCCTTCATCTCTCCTCTACCTGTACCGTGGAGGATTCTGAGGTTCATTGTCGCTGTTTGGTTGACTCCAACCCAAAAGCTGCTGTCACCTGGAGTGTAAACGGGAGTGTTCCACCCTATGATTACAACATGTCTATAACATCAGAGCCTGTTGTGCTCACGGCGTCTCTGAGGGGCTACATGGCTAAACCACTGAGCGTAATCTGCTTTGCATTTAATGCACTTGGAAATGACTCCCTGGTTTTGCTGCAGGGGGAGGAAGGTATGTCACTGTCCTTATCAAACTAATAAAGAAAACAGCTCTCCATGTTTTATCTATCAGTGTGATGGTAACAATGAGTTAACTAAACAGTAGGTCAAAAATGTGGCAAAAATTAAGAAAACTTTGTAAAGAAAAGTTTACAGCACAAGAAGTGGGGGAGTGGCGGCCTAGTGGTTAGAGCATAGAGCTTGGAAACCTCAGATTCTGAGTTCGAGCCCCACTCCCACAGACTGCCACTCTGAGTCTCTGAACAAGACCCTTAACCCCACACTGCTCCCCAGTCAACCTATGATGGCAGCCCACTGCTTCCCAAGGGGATGGGATAAATGCAGAGAGTTAATTCCGTTGCTCTGTACTTGTGACACTGTAGTGACAATAAAAGCTGAAAAAAAGAAATATTTCCCAATGTCACCAAAAATTATATTGGTATCTAAGTTATTCAATTTACACATTATTGCACTGATCTGTGTCTTTTTTGTTGCAGAATCTGTACCTGTGGTCTGGATCATATTAGCTGCTGTAGGGATCTTCCTGTTAATACTCTGTCCGTCTCTGATTATCTACCACTGCCATCGAAGAAGAGCTAAAAGGTATGAGAGGCAAATTTACTTATAGAATGAGGATCTTGTTTCTATGTGGCTATACCTAATGGTCTTGTTTTTGTCCTCGTAGACACCTGAGGAGACATCAAGCTGTTTACCCTGAAGGATTGGGAATTTATCAGAACAGAATGCCTCTCTACATTAATTGCACTGAAGTCACTAATGTCTACACCAATGGGAGCTACCAGCTTGTGTACCAGAACTCCACTCCTGTTTTTGTTCATACAAAACAGGTATCACATATTTTGGTTCTTATAGACTGTGCTATTTTGAATAGAGGACATGTTGTATAGATTTTACATTAAAAAAACAGTTTGCCTGGAATTTTAAACAACTGTATCTCTTTTTTAGACCCGTCCAATGGGGAGAAGAGGTGGGGAGAGGAGAAGAGGAAGAGAGGCTGGAGGGAGAGATAGAGGAGGTGTAGGGCTACGGGGTTCAAGAGATCTTCAAAGTGCTTCTCTAGCTGATCCAGAGACGGCCATCTATGTGGAGATATTATAAGTTTAAAAAGACAAAATAAGTGGATATGTAATTAATGTGATACATTAACTGATTTTTGTAAGTATTGTTTTCGACTAACATCATTGACTTTTTAGTAGAATAGTTTTGAAATGATACTTTATCATTTGATCTGCTAAATTCATAAGAAGCCGGACAAAGATCCTCAGATCTGCGATTCTGGGAGAAATCAGAGGTTTAAATGACGATATAAGTAGCTGAACCAGTCAGTGGTGTATCATCCTCTGAATAAACCTTGCTTCTTTTTCTGTGGCTTTAGTGGCACGTCTTAATTATTAGCCTCACAGAAGGAGAACATAGAATAGGGAATGACTTGTGGTAATTGGCCCATGGTGAGGACTCAGACCAGGACAGCTGCTCTAAGCACACTACCCTCCCCATGTGGTGCTACAGCTTCATCAATAAGTTAAGAAGGGTTTTAGGTTTTAAAATATTTTATAGAGAAGATATTTTTTATCCCTCTTACAAATTAAAATTTGTTTCTAAATAGACGGAAGTGAATATTACATTTGATGCAGAGATTTTTCCTATTATATTTTGGGATCTGTTTTGTATCTGTGTGGATTTTTTTTCATGGAAGGCTTATTATATTGCAAAAGTGTTATTTTCATATAGATTCACAGTCTTTGAGGTCAAAAGGATTATAAAACAAGGACCCTGTGTTGATCCATTAAATGTTCTTTTGAATGACTTAAAAAAAATCTATCAAATATCATTTATATTTTTATTCTATGTACTAGGACTAAGTAATGAAAAGGACTAGATAATAAGTAACATGCAGTTTATTGTTATGGATTTTTAGTATTTCAAGAGAAATTACACAAAGGCCCCAAAGTCAGATTATGTTGCTTCAGAGTTGCAAGGCTAGGCCCCATAATCCTAATCTAGCTTGTATGTCCTGTTAGGATAATTATCATTGAAGATGTGTGAGTTTATTACACCCTGGTATGGGCTGCCTGTTGCACGTCAGAACTGACGTTTTAATCTAATTAGGAAATTTCCTCTGTCTGGATATACAGCTATCTTCATTTTGTACGTGGTAAAGATTTGGAAATGGAATGAGAGCGGTGTCCTTCAGCTAAGAACCAACCAAATATTTTGGTAAGGCTGGAGCCATGGACATCTAATCATCTGGTAACGTGTATGATGTAAAATATAAGGATGTGGCAGACTGGAAATGTATAAAATGCCTTTCAACTGTTAATCGGGGCCACTTCCTGAGAGGTGAGCCCGGAGGTGAGCAGCTGCCTTCTGTAAACTCGAAACAATTTCTCTGATCTGAGTAAGATTACAATTTCTACCTGAACCTGTTATCATGTCTCCTGGTTATTTAATACATATAAGTTATAAAGTGTTATTTAAAGAGTCTGTCCCGAATGATCTCTTTTCAGGAAAAATAACCTGAAATATAGAGCATCAGGGTACATACACAGAGCCCATCTTTAACAATCCTGAATTCCTCAAATCGGTAAAGACTCTTAAGCTGCAGTGGAAGTGTGTCAGCGATCGCCATATTAAGTGCTGTCCAAATAGTGCGGGCAGTAAAGAAGACGAGGAGGAAGCAGTATGCTGCCTATCGCCGTTTCAGTTAGCACATCAACCTACTGAAGTTCTTAGCCACAGCTCTGAGCTATACTGCTGCTCTTAATCCTTACATGACTCTGTGTGATACATACAAACGTATTCACCTTCATTAGAGGGAAAAATCTAAAAATGGATTGTTTCTTCCCGGTTGACTGACATTCTCCTACTTATGCATTAGAGTTCATATTTCTTGGCTACTTTTTTGAGTGGTAGTACAGTCGGGTGGAGCAGAAAACAGATGAGAAGGTTCAAGCCGCATCTGCACCAAAGAGGTTTGTCTAGTCTGTTAGATAGATAAAAAGTATACACATCTATCTGTATAAAAGCCCCAACTTTTGTCATGATAATAATTTGGAATATAACCTAAATGTATTTTTCTATATTTGAAGCAGATCAACAGTTTGATGGAGGGATTATATATATTTTCTAACATACAAATGTCTTGGGATCGACAGTACCAAAATCCGTCACTCCCTAAACTGTTTTTTTTTTTCTTGTCAAAAACTCCAAAATTACAACCAGTACCTAAAGCATGTCCCAGACAAAGTGCTTCATTCCATTCTATGCACATAAAAGATTGGCTTTACATTAGTAATTGAAAATGATCAATTACATCTTAAATTAAGAGAAAATATGGGGAATAAAAACTTATTACAACGGATAAATAATTTAATCGATTCCACGAATGAATCGATGAATCCAATAAAGTATTTTTAAGCTAAAAAAATGGGATTCATAATGTATTTTTAAAATTTGAATTGCATTGAATAAGATATAGAAATGCATCAAACAAAAAAATGCGTTTAGAAATTAATGAATGAGAAAATTATGATTATTTATGCTATAATTAAAAAGTAATTTTTCTCAAGTGTGCATTAATATAACAAAATATAACAGAGATCAAGTGTTTAAACCTACACTGACATGTACACAGTAAATACGCAGTTAATACCTAAAACCTTTTGCAGTTTTAAACTTTCAAAAAAATAATGACAGCAAAACTTTGCATATTACACTACTTGGTGGTGAGCTCAATCACACGGGGACATAATTTCAGCGTAGAAGAAGAACGACACGTTTTGATTGGACAGAAAACCAGTTAGCCGGAAGTTACGCAACAGTGCAACGTTTGCTCCCTTTTGGTGGGAAAATGTGTTCGCTATGGCGCAAATTTAACTTAAATTCCAAATGGTTGATATATAAATTGAAATACATGCTGTAACTATAGAGTAATGTGTATATGTCAAGCTTAACAGCACGGAGAGATTACCGCGCTAAAGGCTGTTACAGGTGTTGAATGATCCGATTACTCTAGGAAAGTTGCCTGCCTTTTGTTTACTAGCATGCTATCTGGCTGATCAGGAGTTTTAATAACGCTGAGCAGACATTCAGTGGGTTCATTTTTGTACCGTTAAAAGCAATCTGTGTGTCTTTCGTTACTGGCTTCTAGGGTAGATGGTTGTCTCTTTATAAACTCGTCGCTGGCGGATTTAGGAAAGTCATAATCACATTTAATAGCGGCCGAAAATTAACCCAAACATGCCAGAAATCAAAGTAAAACACGTGGTTTCCTGCTCCACGGAGGACAGTGTAAGTTATTTCATTTTAACCGTCTGATAATTGTAAAGTAAGCTGCTTCCTGCCTCATTTGTTTATATACAATCCAGACTCATAAAGCAGACAACCTGCTGAGCTCAGACACCTACAGAAAGTGGAAAGCCGCAAAACCCGGAGAGAAGCAGACATCCGTCATCCTACAGGTTTGGGTTCTTTTCAATGATTCATGTTTTCATTGTTTTTAAGATCCCGGTCTAAATAAATATATATGTTAGCCATCCAGTAGCGGTTCTAGACCAAATGTACCAGGGGCCAGGAGGGGGCCAGCGTGTTTTCATGGGGGCACAGAAAAGCGTGAAATAAAACGAAGGACAAGGGATTCAAATATATTAAGAGAGCTTTATGAAGTGAAATTTCTATTCAATTAGGTTTAATTAAAATGTGTCTTACTGGGTCAATTTACATTCATAATTTAGGAATTTAACACATTTTTGAATTAATTTAAGTTAAAATTACCATTTACTACAAAATCTGAATTATAACTCAAGAAAAACTGATAAATTCAGCCAATAAAATTGGAGCAATTTATTTTGGAGAAAAAAAACATTTAGCAAAAGAAACTTGAGATCCTAGCGCAATACCACTTAAGCTATCGCCTTATTGATTTTAAGTAAATAGTTAAACAGAATTTGTAAAGAAAAACAATGAAATAGACCCAACGGACCCATCAGTAACCATGTCTGTTCCAGCGCAAATCATCTTTAGAATTTCTTTGAGTATAATTTCTTCAGTACAGGGGCCAGTTCCCCTGTAGATCATATCCTGGCCCCTGTCTAGACCGCCCCTGCAGCCATCTTAAATCGATAACCCATTCGTTCATTGATGGGGGAATGGAGGCCTAGTGGTTAGAGCATAGAGCCTGGAATCCTGAGGTTCGAGTCCAATCCCACAGACTGCTACTCTGGGTCTCTGAGCAAGACCCTTAACCCCACACAGCTCCCTGGGTGCCCCAAGATGGCAGCCCACTGCTCCCCAAGGGAATGGGTCAATGCCAGAGGCGTAGCTAGAAAATGTTTATTAGGGTGGCCAAGCAATAACCAATATACACTGAGGCGTGGCAACTGAACCTCAGGGTTAATCTACACTGTTCCAATAGGAAAATTAACGAGCAAAGAATCCATATTTCTTGATAAAGACAAACCATACTTTCCTACAGCCTTCGCTAACAAATAGACGCATAAATATTTAAACATCTGCGCTTTTTTAGATAAAAGGTATAGTGTATAAAATTCTTTCAGGTTTGAGTTCTGGGGCAAACATCTTTTCCATTGTCTTTACTTACCTACTCTTATCAACAATCATTCTGGATAAAATAGATATTTACAAGTACTAATATCGACATAAATTGATTATTTAATAGGTTTTTTTTATTAAAATAGTTATCTATGATTTCACTAAAGACTCCTAGATGACTTGCAGAGACATCATTTTCTCTTTACCCCATGAATCTAGTTATGGAAAGAGCATGACTTCTGTACTAATCATCTTTAATGTTAGTATTTTAATGTGCATAATTACCAACATGTGTTATTGTTGTCAAGTAATTGTTAATATATAAAAAATTTGAAATGTTTTGAATATTCCCCTTTGAGAGTATTACTGCTGCCACTGTCTGTATTAGAGGGAAAAAATGGTAGGGGTGGCCAATGATTGGCTAAGGGTGACCATGGCCACCCCTGGCCCCCATCTAGCTCTGCCCCTGTTCAATGCAGAGGTGAATTTCTCCAATGTGAGATCAATAAAGTTCTATTATTAGTAGTAGTATTATTATCATTTTCAGTTTATTTGGCAACCAGTTTCATCTAAAATATATTTTAAATAAATGTACGTTAGTTTCCCAACCACAGCTGTTTAATTATTTTAAGTTTATAAAAACCGTTGTCTACATCATATAGAAGCACATTTCACCTTATTAGTCTATAGATATAGCAACTGTTTTATTAGTAATGTAAAGAAAGCATTACATGCACACATCTATGGTTTTCTATGGTTGTAGAATGTCTGATACCTTCCCAACTTAAATACA